TGTTTACCTGGGAAAGTACGGCGTGGCATCTTTTGCAATCTAGATAAGCTGAGAATTTTCTAAATCACCAAGCCCTGGTTCCTTTTTACTTAATAGTTTTTCCTTCAATCTCTCTTTCCTCTCACGTTTTACCATAAACAGCAAGAAGAAACCAGGCAGTGACTTCAACACTTTGCTTAGAAGTATTCTCCCTTAAATATCCAAATTCATCATTTCTGCATATGGCAGACTGCAATTCACTAAGATCTGCCATGATATAATAAGGATATCCTTTCCTCCAGTTCCAATAACGGATTCCTCGTTGCCACCGGTGTCCTCACCAGCAGCATGTTTAACATTCATATTTATACCAGCAGTCCCTCATGACATATTATGTATTCTCTAAGATGACATAGGTTTTCTCTACCATGGCTTCCAATTCTCTACTATGCTTCTGAGTCCTTACTAGCAAAATTAACATCCGTTTTTGTTTTTTTTTCAACAGAGCATTCAAAGCAAACTAGGTTTTTGAAAAACATTGCTCCACAAAATTCTTCCAGCCTTTGCTATTTCCCCATCCTAAAGCTACTTTCATATTTTTAGATATTTGTTACACAAGCACCCCACTTCCCAGTACCTAAAATTGTACCACTTTCCCATTGTTAAGGTAACAACCACAAACCTAGCTACTTAAAACAATACAGATGGGTTATCCTACATTTCTGGAGGTCAGAAGTTTGAAATGCGTCTCACCGGATTAAAATCAAAGTGTTGGCAGGGCTGTGTTCCTTTCTGGAGGCTCTAAGGGGGAATCCATTTTCTATTCTGATCCAGCTTCTTGAGGCTGCACACATCCCTTGTAATAACCCCCTTGCATCTTCAAATCCAACAATTACTGGTCAAGTCTTTCTCACATTGCATCACTCTGATGCTCTCTGACTTTGACTCCCTTGCCTCCGTCTTTCATTTATTTCAAGGACCCTGTGATTACAATGGGCCCACAGAGGTAGTCTAGGATAATTTCCCCATCTCAAGGTCAGTTGATTAACAATCTTAATTCTCTGTGCGATTTAAATTCCCCCTTGCCTGGTGCCATTTAACATGATATATTCACAGGTTTCAGGGATGAGGACATGGACATTTTTAGGCCAGGGATTGGCAGGCATTATTCTACCTACCACTCTATTTACTGCTAAAAACCACCATTTATTTTGAGAAAATATAGCGAACAACATTTCTGTCACCATTTGAATCTCTTAAATCCAAGCTGCTTCATGAATGTCCTACCAGGACTAGAAATTTAGGGACTCCAACTTCACATGGTCTGTGTTTCCTAATTAAACCTTTGCACTCCAAAAGAGACATTTTGAAGTGCTAACATGGTCCCAATAATTACAAGTTACCAGTGCAAAATTTGTCCAACTGGGTGTGTTTAAAATAAGTTGAAAGCAAGTAATCTTAAGAAGGAGGATAAAAGAGTGATAGAAAGGAAAAATGATAATGAAGTTTATCATATCTTTCTTGTGTTTGACAAGTTATCCTGATTTGATAAATAGTACAATCAGTGATTTGTCTGCTAAAAAAATAAAGTGAATTTCTGCCCCTGACACATATAAGAAAAAAGCGCACAGACCTGTACAATGGTCCTCTCACCTTCTCCCTCCTGCTGCATTGCTCCTCCCCCTATGTCTCAATTCCTTTTGGCTTATGAACTTATGGGTTTGGTTTATGAACTAGACCAAGAAGCCAGTAGAGATGAATCCGTTAGTCCTGTTACTTTATTTGGACTGACATGGCAATAATATCTCAGAAAAAAGAAAGGTGCTTGTTCTAAAAATCCCTAGGTTTAAAGAGAATCATATAACCAGTTTCCAGGTCTAGCAAACTTAATGAGTTGATAGTAGATCAGTGTTCTCAAATGATAATATGCATAGGAATCAATGGGGGATTTTGTTAAATGAACATTCTGAATCAGTAAGTTTGGGGTGAGGACTAAGGTTCCATATTTTTGACAAGATCACAGGTCGCGCTGATGCTGCTGATACAGGGACCACACTCTGAGTAGCGAAGAGTTGGATTCTATCTCTGGTTGTCATTGTCATTTGCAAGTGTGGAAAGAATGCATGTTTGAATGCTTTGTACTGTTGGCAATTGTGAATACAAGAATAACAAGGCATCTTGAGAAGAACACTTGAGCTGTTCTGCCTAAGTCAACAAAGTTACCCAGGGTTGCTTTAAACTGAATAGCTGTCCTTGTTAACATTTTTACTCAGTTGGCATGACAACTTGCCTGTCCTCAATAAAGTGGAGGCAAGTAGGTTTTAACCTACACGCGTCACCTGTAAGACAGGAGAATGGACGTGGAAGATGATGAAATATTCAGGTATTCATGTATTCACTCATCAGTCATCTGATGAGTGGATACATGATTCCACTGAATTCCTACTAGGAACCATGTTCATTGCTAGACACCTAGGCTGCAAAGATTACCTACCGAGTACAAAAGCACTCTCAGTACTTTTTCAGGGCCTATCAAATATCCAGATTAAGGAATGTCTTTCACAATTACCTTTTGATGATTCCAGCCACCCTCAACCGTAGATTGGTTGCTTTTCCCACATACCTCATTTCCTGGTACAAAGGATGGGAGAAGAATACAAGACACGCTCTAGCTGAGAGTGGATAAAACTGAGTAGGCCCTGGCAGAAATGACTGAGGTTCAATGAAACATTTATCAAGGATTTGGGTGTGCTATAGAATTTGAGGATGGTAAAAGCAGAAATTAACAGCTTTAGCAAGTCACATTCCAGGATGACAGGCCTGTTGACAAGAGTAATGGCAGTAGAGGAAAATAAAAACAAACAACAAAAAACAGGTTTTATATAGACCCACAGTGCATGGCAACTAGAGGACAAAGAGGCCATTTGAACGGAACCGGTCTTTCCACTTTACCTTCCTATAGTTTTATAAATGTACATTGTATTTCTATCAAATGATACCACTTTCTGTTTCTTGACTAGTCAGGTCATGGCTTCCCACCTCCATGCCTTTCCTCTCAAGCTTTCCTTGGACTGAAGACAAAACAAAACAAAAAGAAGCTTCCTCTATTTCATCTTTTCCCAAATACAACCAACTTTTTAAGGCCTAAGTCTAAGGCTGCTCTGTTGTGAAGTATTTTTCCTGTTAAAAACAAAAAAGTCTCTTCTTCTGCACTTTCATGTCATTAAACTTATTTTTTTTAAAAATAGTGTGAGCTTCTCTTTCAATTATGCACTTGTGGGTATTTCTTTTTATTTTTTTTCCTTCTAGGTTTTAAAGAGCACTGTGAGGAGAGAAGCCTTACTGACCCAAGAGATTATCATGGGTTGGGAGCAGAGGAAGAGAAGGTTTCAGAGGTGGCAGAACCACAAATTCAAACTTACAGCTTTAAACTTTTGCCTGATACTAATGCAAGGTATATTTAAATGCCTTTTTTCTTAAATGTCTTTTTTTAAACTTATTCTGACTATTTGCCATGAGAAGAGCATGTAGGCAAGAATGGGTAAAAAATATACAAATGTGATGAGTCAAAAATGGGACCAGATTATGTGGTGGGTTTGGGGAGAAATATAATTGGAGATATCTGTGAACAATTTGTCTCAAAGTTCCTGGGTTTGGAGAAGGATCACGTAATAATCATGGTTAATTGTGAACTCACAATGAAAAAGCATAATGAGATCTTTTTAAAAGTGAGAAAGGTAACACAAAAACAATATCAGAACTTATATTTCTGTGATGGAATATACACATGTGGCCCCCTCATCCCCTCACCCCACCCCCTCAAATGTACTGAACCAAGCAGAATCAAGACCTCACTGGAAAGATGCAAATACTCTGTAACCATTAAATTGCGTTTGCAAAGGAGTAGATGGATTTTAAACCTGAAAACCAGGACAAGAAAAGCATCCATGCAGATATCAACTTCCCAGCAAAAAGGTTGGAATTTTTAACTGTGGAAAACTACAGGTTTTCTGGATCAGTGCAGAGAGGAGATTTCTTTTTTTAAGTACGCCAAATTTCCCATGAGTTCCCTCCGTCTTATTTTCCTTTCTCTTCCTTTGTCCCCGTCCCATTTTCTCTTGGTGTAACTGTTGGGATGGCGATTGGGTAGCTGGAAGGGCCAGGACTCAGTTCCCCTGCCCTAGTCTGGGTGTGGTGGGTGGGACTCAGCACCAAGCTGGTTTTCCACAAACAGGTTTCTGTGCAGTTTTCGTACACTTTCATTGCACTAGACCCGAAGCAAAAAGCAGACAGCAGCTGGGAGCTGCCCTAAGCGACCTACACCTGCAAGGGAGGGAGCGCCGCCAGCAGCCCAGGGACAGGGCCCTGAGTGACCTCACCATGGTGTGTTTTAGCCGCTGCTTTCTTTTTCAGTCTTTCGGTGCAGGGAAGGGGAGGGGTTCTGAGAAGTCAAGTGCAGTGGGGAAAGGAGCTGCCGGGATCCTTTGGGGTCATCAGAGAGATACGGAGACACCGGGAGAGACAGCGACTAGAACCGATTGCGTGTTTCGGAGCAGCGCGGGAATCGGGTTCGCTAGACACGTCGCGTCCCGCCCAGCCTGTTGAGCAGGTAGACAGGAGTGAGCCCAAGTGTGAGCTCCGCGGCCCTGCGTGTGGTGGGTGCACTCACGCAGAGACTGACAGGTGCCACCGCAGAGTCGCCTCTCCTGCCCCCCCCACCCCCCCGTCCCCCTTCCGCCCTTGACGCCCACTCTCTTTCTGGGTTTGCAGTGCGGCTTTGCGAGGCGCGCCCTTGATCTGCTGGAGATCCAGAAACAAAGCCCCGAGCTCTGGGAGGCCACCGAGTAAGTGGTCGCTGCGTCCCCACGCGGGTCGGGGCTCCCTAGAAGGACGGTCCCTGTGCCCGGGCCTCCAGCCCGGGTTGGTTTTCCTACCCACCCCCCGAAACCCCGGGAAAATTTCCCTGCGTTCCCAGCCCCGCGGGGGGGGGGGGGCGGGCCCGGTTCCCACGCTGGGAAGGACCGAGGGAGCAAAGGAGACGGCGCCCGGGTGCCCGGCTCAGGGCTCGGGGGACCTGCGACGCCCGGGGGAGGAGGACAGACTGTCGCGGGGTGGGCGCCGGGCTGACCGCACCCGCGGCTGCGCTCTCGGATCCCAGGCGTGAGAACGCGCGGGGGCCTCTGCGCTCCCACCCTGGGTCACCCGGGTAGCTCGGTCCGCCAGCCCGGCATAGCGAGGCGGCCTGCGGCGCACGCGAGGGCGAGCTGGAACAGCAAAGGGATGCGGGGACATTAGAGGCAGCAGAGCTGGAGGCTGCATCTGGGCTTCACCGAAACTTCATCCCGCCTGCTACGGTGTGGGTGAGCGATTCGCTCTCCTGGATAGCAAACAGCTACGATAGCTGGATTGCTTAGAGAAAGAAGCAAGCAAACTTCCAGCGGGGCTGTTCGGGGCTAGACCGAAGAGTAAGTGCGTGTGCGTGTGTGCTAATTACTGCTTGGCATTCTAATTTATGTTTTCATTATGACTGCCGTACCTGGGGATGCGGTGAGCAAGGGGTCACCACCGTCCCGGCGCATCGCATTGCCTGGAGCCTGTACTCTGTGTGCTAAGCAGCCGCCCTGGGACATGGGTGTGAGGGGGGCTGCGTTGCAATGTGATCATGCGATGGGTTTCGTGAGTCCTTTTTTTTTTTTTTTCCCTCGCTTGTTTCCACATGGTTGTTTCTTCATTTTGCACTTGATAAACAGTTTACATCTTCTGAAGTAAGCCAGAAGGTTGTACATTTCACTTAATGGTGACTGGCCGAAGATATCCTGGTTTCCGAAATATTGAAAACTCCTTTGAAACAGAATATAATATATATATATATATATATATATATATATATATATATATATGTAATTAGAACTTCATTTGTAACATATCAGTAGTGATTTTTCAGGGTTAGTCCTCTGATGCTGATTTCATTAAATGCCTACCTACTTACTAGGACTGGGGCTTGGTAGGGACATCGTTAACCCTCTGGTTTCATATAAATAAATATCAAAACATTTAATGATAGGTATAGATTTTTATATCTTGGTTCATAATGTAGAAGTAATCTGTTAAGCTTTTCCTAAAATGGCTATACATATATATTTTTTTCTGCTGCTGTGGTCATTTCAGGGACTATATGTTATGAAGAGTGGTAAAAATTATTAACAATATAACAAGTATATGAATGTCTAAAATTCCAAAGCAAATCTTAATTTGTCAGAAAGCCATATAAATTTTTTATTACTCTTTCATTGGGGATTGTCTGTGTAGTCTATGTTCTGTTCAGTAGCTAAATCACTCAGGGTCTGTGTATCTGCTTCAAGGGGTCATGAAGTCCCTGGAAACTTATTAAACATTGGAGTTGCTCCATTTGTAGGGAGATAGTCTAGAGTCCTTAGATATCCAAAGAGATCCGTGACCCAATAGAAAAAGGAGAACTGTGAAATTAAAGTATATAAGCTATACTTTTTCTTGTCAAAACAATATGGCCTCTCTATAAAGCCTGCAGACATAAAATAGCAGGAACCATTCTAGAATAATTAAACAGTGTTACAATAATTAAACGTTTCATAAAAAAGGGACCTACTTCCATGTTTTCAAGTCTATCAGTTAGGAAACTTAGGTCGATAAAGTTTATTTGGTAGAAATTTGTAATGAGTAGATAGGTATCTTGTTTTCTTCTTGTACTATAAGATTTCTTTCTAGTATATGACAGAGAAAAGTAAAATTATATTTTTCTCTCTTTGAAACCCAACAGAAATATAAAGTATTTATGCCTGATATGGTGTTTCATAGTGTATGAATATATATAGCCCCTGAAAAGCCCTGTTTTTTGATGTTCAGGTAAAAAATAACATGTCTAAAATAATTTTCTTTTAGAGAATGTGGAAGGAAATGTAAAGGTATTTCATTTGTATCTTAAAAGAAAAAGAAATGTGGAAAACTTCACAATGCTTAGTACGTATATCTCTTATAACTATGGTTTATTAAGTGATCTTGCCTTAAGGCGTTATTTTGAAAATTTTAATATATTTTACTAAAAACTAAAGAAGTAAGTGATAAATAAAATTAAATTATTTCTATTAAGAATAACTCAATAAAATATTTTTGTGACTGAATGTCAACAGTTTTGGCATTTTTGAAATGAAAATATCTTTAGTTAATATTACTTTTTTGATAAATAAAAATATTGCTTAACCTTGAATTTTATCAGAAACCATACAAGGAAAATTAAATTCTGTATTTATATTGTAGGTTGCATTTGCTAACAATTAATATGAGTGTAGGAAGGAAAATACTGATATTTTACAAGTTAATTTAAAACAACATATGTATCCCAAAAGTTTCTAATTAACCTTTTTCCAGAAACAGATAAAAATTGAATTAGTCTTAAGAATCAATCAAGCCAAAAAGTTATTAATGGGAAAAAATTGGAGGAAATTAGTTATTCAGAATATTTCCTATACGTCAGATTTTCCAGGAAGTTGCTTGGCTTTTCTTTGATTTGCTAGAATATATAACTTTTATGGCACTGATTTTTATACCACTTACATTATAAAATTTACCCAAATAATTTTTCTTAAACATTACTATGTATTACTTTTCTGTATGTTTGTAGAAACAGATATTTTTCTTTCTAAAATATCAATAATTTTAATGGTTTTTAGTCTGGCGGCCATCTAGATTTATTAAGTCTTTATTAGGTGCCTGTGTAATAGTTTTGTTTTGGGTATATCCATCTTGATCTGATAAAAGAAAGGCTTTCGGCAATGTTTAGGTCTTTAGATGAACAAATTTAGTTGCTCATTGACTAGTTGACTTACTTGGGATTGGAATAAATTTTTGGCTACCCTGAATCACATTTGCTTCTATTTTTCTCAAACAGTTTGGAAGTATCTGACCTATTTCATATATTTTTCTTTCCTCTGAGTTCAGGTCAACAGGCTTCATCTTCCTAGAATTACTTTCAAAGACTCAAGAGCTTTAGGTCAGCTCCCCCCTCAGTCCACATAGAAGAGAATGACCAGTTTATAAAATTTGAGGAGCATGAGCTTCCCTTGCTACAGAAAATGTGAGATTCTCACTGCTTGTAGTTAGTTACCTTCACTTACCTGGAATGCTTTCTGGCCATTAACAATCTTTTATTAAAATGAGCTCTCCCTTACAGAAAATCAAATTCAACTCACATTAATTAACTCACATACCACCTCTTCCTTCTCACCAAAGTAGGAATTAACAAGAAACCAACAGAAGACAATAGCTTTGGGAGTGAATGCCCTGGGGAAAGGAAGTTGGGAAGATCAAGGAAAACTTCTTAATCCTGACATTTTTGCCAGGTCTGACCTATCTACAAATCCCCTATCCCTGTGTTACATTCATTAAAAATATCTGTGTAGATGTCTGTATGTGTTATCAAGCTCAAATCTCCCTCAGAATATTCATCATTGGACTCATAGTACCTGGCACATAGTAGGTGTCTAATAAGCTTCATTTGTTATCTTTGTAATTATTAAATTAAGGTATTTTTTTTATGCCATGATGCTACAGGTTGCTCTATTCAAGAATACAATTTAAAGAATTTTATTTGTTTTATAATGACTTTCCATGGAATATTATGATCTTCTCTCATATGGCTTGCAGCCTGTTCAGAACTGCTTGTAAACTATTATTTACCATTGCCCAACTTCCCTTGGTATTTCTGAGTTTACATCCTTCACTGGTGTTAACCTCTCCTAATTACCAGTGTTTGTCAACCCCCTAAATATTCCACTTTCCTCAGGAATCCAAAATAACGGAGGTTTTTCTTCCTACACATTAATCAGCTGTCATTGTTCAGGACTTTGTTCAACATCTACTATTTGGCTTTCATGGTACCTTAACCTGTTCCATTTCCCTTTGGGAATCCAAGGTATTTGCCCACCTGGACCTTTGCATCACTCAGAATTGCCCCTGCTGAGAAAGCTTAAATTCCCTTTCTAACCTCAATCTCCTATCTTTCCAGTAATTCCACTCACTCACCACTACCCAACACCCTCTCTTCCCATTATTGTTCTTTGGCCACCCCCAAATTTTCTCATGTTTTCTTCTCTTATACTCGTCTTGGACAGCAGTGTCAGCTCTACCCCAACCCTCAAATCTCTTGCCACTAGAATCTGATTTACTCTAACTTCAGTTTAACAAATGGTGAACAGTGATAGGAATTTGTTTTATTCTTTTTTGGATAATTCCATATCAAAATCTCCATAGTACATGTTCTAGATTTCCCCGCTTTCCAGTCCTCTCAAGTGATCCTTACTTCTTTCATCCTTGGCAGATTATCTTATTTCTGAATTCACAGAAAATAGGAAGATCAATTTAGGCAAACTATTTATCAAGATTTATATTAAACATAGGAGGCATTTCTTTATTTGATCTGTTTTTAGCATAAGAACTCTTATACTGATATATACTGTTTGTCTCTATAATACTCAAATCCCAATTTTTACCTCTTAGAATACTTACACAAACTGTTTGTATATATGACAACTCTTGTAGTCTCTATGGCAATATTCAGTTCCTTTAACTCATCCGGAACTGGTATGGTTTGAGAGCCTTGTTACCATCAGGGCATTTCTCTGTTGGATATACTCCTGATTTTTTTCAAGTGTGGTCCCCAGAACAGAACTTAGAAGGGTGGACTAATATCATTGGATATATCAGGTTTTCTTCTCTGGATACCATATAGTTAAATCATCCTAAAATTTAACCTGTCCTTCCCTCACTTATTTTTTGGTTAGCATCCATACTACACTGTTTAGTTAAACACTGTTTTTGCATACGCTTCTGCAAATAAACTCCTCCCCAGTTGTTCATTTAGCCTCTTGATTTTGGACTTTAAAAAATACTTACTGCATTATGTAGGGTGCCAGATGGGCACTGGACTTATTAGGGAGACCCCTTTATAGACTCTGTAGATGCCTGATCACTGTGCTATACATCTGACGCTGAAGTTGAATAATATTGAATGCCTACTATAATTAAACACACACACACACACACACACACACACACACACGTTCATCTTGGGCAGTGCCAAAACATGTATACACATTTTAAGAAAGGAAAATTGTATTAAAATTGAATAATATATACTGAAAACAAAAGATGAATGCAAGTCACATTTGACTTCTGCAATTACAAGAGGTGCTCAAAATGGATACCATCAGCGTACAGACATTTCTGATTATGGCAAACTACTGCTTGAGCAACATTGACCAAAGTATCCACTTCTACACATTTTTTTGGCACCCTGGAATATATATATATATATATATATGTATATGATGTGGAGTACAGCATAGGGAATATAGTCAATGGAATTGTACCAGCTATATACAATGTCAGAGGGGTAGTAGATTGGGGGGGTTTATCACTTTGTGAGAGGTGT